CCATTCACTGTAAATCAAGGTTCCTGATTAAACTGTGTGAAGAAGATTCCTCAATGTTGCGTCATTCTTGCTGGTCAAGGGTGGACGTGACAGAACCTGGACCTAGTTTTGGCTGGAGTGGCTGGCAGTGAGCCTTGGGATTTACCTGTCTTTGCTTCCCAGAACTAGGGTAATAGACATGCTGCCATGCCTGGCTTCTGTGTGGGTGCCAGGACCTGAACTTACATCCTTCAGCTTCCCCAACAAGCACTTTATCAACCAAGCCATCTCCCCAGCCTGCTTGTTTCTGAGACAAGCCTAACTACCCATAGAGCTCACCTCAACCTGGGCTATATAATAAGTTCTAGTCCAGCATGGACTATGGAGTGAAACTCTTTCAAAGAAAAATAAGTTTTCAATTAAAAACACTAAAATGGGAGGTTACCTTACATATCTGGTTATTTTATGGCATACACACATATATTCCAAATATAGAGTACATTGTGTTTCATATATATATATATATATATATATATATATATATATATATATCAAGCACTCAGCAGGTAACAGAATTCTTTTAAATGTTTATTGATTTTGATGAGCATCTAAGTCTGTGCATCACATGCATGCAGTGCCTGGGAAGAGCAGAAGAGGGTGTCAGATCCCTGGACCTGGAGTTACAGGCAGCTGTGAGCCACAATGGAGGTGCTGGGAACTGAACCCACCCGGGTCCTCTGTAAGAGCAGCAAGAACTCTTTATCACTGAGCCATCTCCTCAGCCAAGGCTAATAAAATTTTTAATAATAAGCATTTCCAAAGAAATAAATCACATGCTGAGCATGTAAAGCTATGACCCAGGAGGCTGAAGCAGGAGCTCAAGGACAGCCTGTATTGCACAGTAAGTTTGAGGTCAGCTTAGGGTGGAACCAGAGACCCTATCTCCAAAATCCATCCAACCAAAAAGACTTGAGTCCTTCAATAATGGAATGGGATACTTTCAGATAGTAGTACATCACCAGCCATCAGCTTAACAGCCACTCTTTCAGTGATGTTATAAAGTCTTCCTGCTGGGGTTTACAGAACAATAGTAGGATGCATGAGAATATGGGGTTGATCTCTGATACCATGCACAAACAAACAAAAAAAAAAAGACGTCTCTGCCTTGATGGAAACGAGATCAATTCTGAGGTCCTACAAACTGTGCAACATAAACTGACATGAAAACTTCCCTGATCTATGAAAAGTGAGATGAAGAAATGTACTATCTTTTAGTCTAGAAATGGGTATGAATGATGTGTGATTGAAATTAATAGAGCATGGGCCCATTCTGAACCACTTGGTCTGGATTGCTGTCTGATTCTGGAACTGAAAAAAAGTCAACTATGATCAGAAAAAGGGAGGCAGAGGGGCCAGGCGTTGGTGGTGCACACCTTTAATCCCAGCACTCGGGAGGCAGGGGCAGGTGGATCTCTGTGAGTTCGAGACCAGCCTGGTCTACAAGAGCTGGTTCCAGGACAGCCTCCAAAGCCACAGGGAAACCCTGTCTGGAGGCAGAGATGTAAGTGATTGGTAAATCATAGGCTTAACATGTATGAAACCCTGGGACTATTCCTAGCACTGGAAAAGAAAGCTGGTGATGCACAAGAGGAGCATATTGGCAGAGCAGGCAACGGAAACAGTTGTGCCAGAGTCTCAAAGATCCCCAGAGACCACCAGGGAGACAGACCCACTGAACTGTAAAAGCAAGGTTTTAATTGTTCATCCAACCATGACAGGGACCCCATCTGGCTAGCCAAAGCAGCAGGCTCCAGAGGGGATGAAGTTCCCTGTCTACTGCTAGGTTTTAAAGACAAAAGTTACAGGACTACATCAGTATGTACGGGTTGGTTGACATTTGGGAACAAATAGGAGAATTTCTCAAAGTCATATTTTGGCATAAAATACCTGTGTACCAATTCTTTTCATTGGTCAGTGCTGACAGGGAACATTCTGTGGTTTCTATGGCTTTGTCTTGTTACTTGCAGTAGCCTGTTGTACATAGATACCAATAGTTTTCAGAACTGTATCCTGGAGACTACAGGGAAGGTTTTGGTCTCCCCTGGAGTTTCTTTTGCAGCCAAACAGGTCCCAAGTATCTTGGAGGCTTAGGGAGGTCGGGGGTCTGGAGTTTCTTTGTGTTCAGTTTTGGCCCTAGGCTCTGGGAGGCCAGGGGATCCGGAGTTTCCTTGTATCAGAGGCCTTTATGTCTTTTCTGTAGCCTGTTATGGCTACTAAAGCAGGGGCTGAGTGAGAGTCTGGTCCCTTCAGAAACATTACTTCTCAAGTAGTTACACTAATGTCTCTGAGGATTTAATTATTCCACATAGAAGCCTACACAGACTGTAGCCAAAATAAAGTAAGACTAGGCTCCTACTAGGAAGTAGAAGGTACAAAAAGAATAGGAGGCAGAATGGTGCAGTCACAAAGAGTCACTTTAGAGACTGGGGACAGGCTGGTAAGCCAGGAAGACATACAGGTTCCAACAGCCTCTGAAGTAACTTTTTGCCTATTTGTATTATTTACATCTCATAAAAATATCTAATTAACTTACTTACCAGAAATATTCATTAGCAGTATTTATTAGATATTTATATTTTAAATTCTCTATTTCCAAGTATTTCCTTCATTAGCTTTTGCTGGGTTGAAAGACATGGCCATCCATTGTACCTTTACTTGTCTTCAAAACTCATCAGGGCCTGGACTGTAAAGAGACAGACTGTGAAGCCAGCAGCTAAGGATAAGTGAATACACGTACGTTTGCTAAAGGCCTTGTTACCTGGGTTCTAGATTCCCATACAAATCTCGACTGACATTTGCTCTATGATACTTAAACCTACCTTCTCTTTACCATAAATAAGTTCATCAAGGTATACGCTCTGCAGTCTTAGAAAAACATATACCATTTATTTTCTCCATCTGCAGTTGCTAGATTTCATCTAGATACATAAGATCATGCATGTATATGACATGAAAGGAAGTTGAGGTACAACTGCCTAAGGGAAAAGAGAACTAACAGAGACAGCAGGGTAGCTCAGCAGAGAAAGACGCTTGCTGCCCAGCCTGACTGTCCAAGTTCAGTTCTCAGAACCCATGGAACAGAAGGGTAGAACTGACTCTCAGAAGTTGTCCTCTAACCTCTGCATACACACACTCCTCCATGATAACTAAGTAAATGTTAAAGGGGGCATGGGGTAGCAGGAGGAATGAGAAAGGAAAGGTTAGAAACGCATGGGGGAAGCTGTGTGGTGGTGGTGCACGCCTTTAATTCCAGCACTTGGAGGCAGGGGCAGGTGAACCTCTGTGAGTTCAAGGTTAGCCTGGTCTACAGAGCAAGTTCCAGGACAACCAGGGCTACACAGAGAATCCCTGTCTCAAAAAAAAAAAAAAAAAAAAAAAAGAAAAAAAAAAAAAAAAAAAAAAAAAAGAAGAAAGAAAGAAAGAAAAAGAAAAAAAAATAGAGAGAGAGAGAGAAGGAAAGAAAGGAAGGAAGGAAGGAAGAAAGAAAGAAAGAAAGGTATATGGGATATACTGAACATCTAATGTACACTTGTACAAAAGTTTCAAACATAATTTTTTGAAGACCTGGACTCTGAGCTGAATGTAGTAAAGAACATCTTCAATCACAGTACTAGGAAAGAGGTGGCAGGGAGATCTCTATGAATTCCTGGTCGGCCCAGTCTACAGAGTGAGTTTCAGGCCAGTCACAGCTACATAGTGAGATTCTCCTGTCTCGGAAAAAAAAAAGAAAAGAAAAGAAAAGAAAGAAAGGAGGGAGGGAAGGAAGGAAGAAAGAAAGGGAAGGAAGGAAGGAAGAAAGGGAAGGAAGGAAGGAAGGAAAGAAGGAAGGAAGGAAGGGAGAAGGAAAAAAGAAAGGAAGGAGGAAAGGGAAGGGAAGGAACAAAGGAAGACTGGTTGATTAAGGCTCTGCTTTGGACAGATGTAGCAGTGGAATCCTGGGATTTGAGGCCAACCTGGATTATATAGCAATTATATAGAAGACTAAGAATGAGACCCTGACTCACAAAACAAAATCTAAAAAGTTCCTTTCTATTTCTTCCTTCCTCCATTTTGTTTCTCTCTACCAGGATAGGTTAAGAATGACTGAAAAGAACTAACCTCAGATAACATTCTGATAGACAGAAACCATCTTTGATATCCTGCCCTGAATTCAACGGCACAACATGGAAATCAAATGACAACTTTCAGAAACTGATTCTTTCCATCCAGTTATCAGGCTTGGTAACAAATGCCTGCACCCACTGAGTCATCTTGCTGGCCCCTAAATGTTATACATTCCTATGGCCGTTCTGTGTCACAATGCACACATGTATATTCACACACAAATCTTGCTGCCTAATTAAATTCTTAGTTTCAGTTAGATCCATTTTAAAAGGATATGAGGCAAAAAACAAAACCTCAGACGACTAAACAATATTTAAAATGTTAAAAAAAAAATGAGGGGCTGGAGAGATGGCTCAGAGGTTAAGAGCACTGACTGCTCTTCCAGAGGTGCTGAGTTCAATTTTCAGCAACCACGTGGTGGATCACAACCATCTGTAATGAGATCTGGTGCCCTCTGCTGATGTGCAGGCAATGGAGGCAGAATGTTGTATTCACAATAAATAAATATTTTTTTTAAAAAAAATGAGGATGGAAACCGGGCATTGGTGGCACACACTTTTAATCCCAGAATTCAGGAGGCAGAGGCAGGCAGATCTCTGTGAGTTCAAGGCCAGCCTGGTCTACAGAGCCAGTTCCAGGCTCCAAAACAATACAGAGAAACTGTGTCTCGATAAAACAAAAATAAACAAATTTAAAAAAAAATAAAAAAAAAAGAGGATGGAGAGGCTCAGTGGTTAAGAACACTGTCTGATCTTCCAGAGGACATGGTTTTGATTTTCAGAACCCAAATGGCAACTCACATAGACTGTAACTCCAGATCTTTGGCCTCTGTGGGCACCAAGCACATATGTAGTGTAGAGGCATACATGAAGGCAGAACACTCACACACATAAAGCTAAAAAAGAAAAACTAACTTTTAAATGTTACTTGAAAAGAAGAAGAGCTGCTCTTAACTCACAGTTTAAGTTTTTGTGTCTCTGTGTGTACATCTTCCTTACTTTCATCTCCTCCTTTTTTTTAAAAGAATTTTATTAATTCAAATTAATGACCAAACGATGAAATGAAGGAAAAATGATTTAGAGCAGTTAAGTTTTCAGCTTCTATCCAATTCCACTGTTTAGTTCACATGCTTCTCTCTCGGGAGGCTGATACTAGGAAGAGCAGCCTGTTCCTTGACATCTTCTGAGGATGGAGTAGTGGTTACTTGGGAGTTTTTCTAATTTAGTTCTCCAGTGTGGCCCTGAGCCCTACTGCTCAGGCTGAAATGTGACCTTCCAAGAGAAGGGAATCTGCTGCACAGCTCAGCAAGAACCCACCTTGGCCTGATTCTCAACAATATACCAACTTCGAAATTTCCTCCTGGGAATCAAGCTTTCAGACCTTGTAAGACTTGAGCACCCCCTAGTGGAGATGTCAATTTTCTAGCTCTTTTCTAAGCTTCAGAGTAGCAGGAATAATTGAGACTAAGGAGCTACTTCCATACTTGTAAAACTCCTGGATACCAGGACTGCCTTAAGTCCTCACCTGCAAATTCTTGCAAATTCTTGCGCTCCTCTAAATTATATTGAAGCTTTTCCAGTAACTCAAAATATCGGAAAAGTGAATCTCTGGGCCAAACAACACGGTCATCCTGATCCATATGCATTAACCCAGGCAGGTTCTCATGCACAAGAGTCTCCCAGTCCATCTTACCTGTAAGGAAGAATGGTTCTTAAAAACATGTTTGCCAGGCATTGGTAGCACACACCTTTAATCCCAGCACTTGGGAGGCAGAGGCAGGTGGATCTCTGTGAGTTCGAGGCCAGCCTGGTCTACAGAATGAGTTCCAAGACAGCCTCCAAAGCTACAGAGAAAACCAGTCTCAAAAAAACAAAACAAAACATGTCTAGGCCAGATGTGGTGATATACACCTGCAATCCCAGAGCTTGGAAGACTGAGACACTAGGCTTGCTAGGGCTACAAAGTGAATTCTAAGATAATTTAAGCTACAGTGTAAGTGTAAAAGGAAAGGGGGAAAAATGAGAAAGATGAGGAGCAGTGACAATATGGATGTGTTACGAAAGCCTACCCTCCCATCATTTGGAGCATAAGGCATGAGCATTGAGGGTTTGACGTCATCCTAGGTCACAAAACAATGACTGTGGTTCTCTTAAGCAAGATGAACAAATCTGAATTCAAACGGAAGGACCCATTCTGCTTACCATCATAATCAAAATCAACTAAAAAGGTACTGTAAGAGGATGAAGAAGCGGTGGAAGATGAAGATGAGTAGACTTTTGATTTTGATGATTTTTTTTGTCCTTCTCCATCTTCATCCTGCTCGGCATCACTTCCCTTGGCTTCCCCTTCCTCGGTGTCACTTTCCTCGGAATCACTTCTCTGGGTATCACTTTTCTCCGCATCACCTGTCTCCACATCACTTTTCTCCGTATCACTTGTCTCCGCATCATTTGTCTCCGCATCACTTGTCTCTGCATCACTTTTCTCCGAATCACTGAGTTCAGGCTCTTTAGGTTTTAATACATCTTTGGAGGCCTTTCTGTGACTTGTTGCTCTATATATAAAGAAATAAATTTATTGTTTGCTTCAAATATACTTGCAAGATGTGATAGTCCGCTTATTATGCTAGTCTTGAGCCTAATCATCCCTAAAGCTTTGATTTACAGCTTTAAGAGCCAAACTATTCTCAGACTCTAGGCTTACGTATTTCCCAGCTCAGCCACCCCCAATGTATCTTTCTGTCTTCCTTCCCATACCGGTGCAACAGAAAATCCTGTTTTTAAATGTAAATCCCTTCATGCCATTCCTCTGCTCTGCTTCCATTTGCTATAAGTAAAATTCTAAGAGCCTATAATAACCTCCTATGACCCTACAGAGTCATGTTCCCCTGCTGGGCTGGTTTGAATGAGCAAAGTCTCCTGCTGAGGAATAACCCTTTTGTTCTCTGGTGAAGAGGGGTTGCTCTCATAGCCAGGCAGGAAAAGGTTAGGTGGGAGAGCCAAACTAAGGGAATGATGGGAAGGAGAGTATAGTTGCCAGCCAGACACAGGAAGCAGATGAACATGCTGTGCAAAAAAAAACAAAAAACAAAAAACACTACATGGTAGTATAGGTAAGAAATATGGGTTAATTTAAGTAGAAAGAGCTAGTTAGTAACAAGCCTAAGCTATTGGCTGAGCATTTATAATTAATAATAGGTCTTTGTGTGGTCATTCAGGGAGCTGATGGTACTGTCAAAAACTCCACCTACAGTTTCCCACAGGTTCATGTATTTGAACACCTGGCTCCTGGTTGGTGGTGCTATTTGGGAAGGGTGTGGGTAAGTTTAGAAAGTGGAGCTTTGCTGGAGGAAGTATGTCACTAGGGACAGATTCTAAGAGTTCACAGCCTTGGTTAAAGATGTGATCTCTCAGCTTCCTGCTCTGGCTACCTGCTGCCATGCCTCCTCTGCCATTTTCCCACTTCCTCTGGAAACATAAGCCAAAATAAGTGTCCTTCAGCAAGGGACCTTGGCCAAGGCATTTTATCAGAGCTGCAGAAAAGGAGCTGACCTCTGACCTCCTCTCCTGTCACTCTTCGTCTGCTCCTGTTACAATGGCCATTATTGTTTCTCAATCACATCAGGTATGCTTCCAACTCAGGTCTTTGTAACAGCTTTTGTCTCTGCTACTAACACTCTCACATAGATATACCCATGGGAATCTCATCACCTTCAAGTCTTTGCTCACATTATTTCTTTCAGTGAGGATGTCCTAGTTACCCTGTTTTAAACTACAAACATAGTCAGTCATGATTGGTAAAGGCATGGACTACTATGTTCAACTCAAAATTTAAAAAAAAAAAAAATTTAAGGGCTGGAGAGATGGCTCAGAGGTTAAGAGCCCCGGCTGTTCTTCCAGAGGTCCTGAGTTCAATTCCCAGCAACCATATGGTGGCTCACAACCATCCATTATGAGATCAGGTGCCCTCTTCTGGTGTGTAGATATACATGGAAGCAGAATGTTGTATACATAATAAATAAAATCTTAAAAAAATTTTTTTAAAAATTTAAGAAGAAAAAAAACTCCACAAAAACAAAATAATCAGCCAGCCTGATCTATAGAGTGAGTTCCAGGACAGGCTCCAAAGCTACACAGAGAAACCGTCTTGAAAAACAAAAACAAACAAGCAAACAAACAAAATCAGCCAGGTATGGTGGCACATGTATTTAATTCTAGTACTTGGAGGCAGAAGCAGAAAGATCTCCGTGAGCTTGAGGCCATTTCGTTTAGATTTTCCAATTTTGTGGACTATAGGTTTTAAATGATATTCTGCTATACTCATAGACTAGAGCCTAGCCCAGTCATCATTAGAGATGACACATCTAGCAACTGACAGGAGTGGATGCAGAGACCCACAGCCTAACATTATGCATACAGTCCCAGGACAGCCAGCACTACACAGAGAGACCCTGTCTCAACAAAACAAACGAAAGCCCCACCTTCACCTTTCTCTGCTACCATGTTGGCCCTTGGTCTCCTAGAGGATCTTTGTCAATAATTTAGAACCTACTCAGATAACCCAGGATGACCCATTTCAAGATCTTTAGATTAACCCCACCTGCAAAGACTCCTTTTCAAATACAGTCACACTGACAGGTTTTAGAGAGTTAGGACATGGAGAGACAATTTGGGGGTGCCATGAATTCCCTATCAAAGCAAATCTTCATCTTTGTTGATTTCTACCATCTGCTTCTCTTATCTCCATCCCAATCCACATACTTACTCCTAACCTACCATCCACATTGCTATTACTTTACCTTACTGCTTCAGGGGATAGGTTTTGTCTCCTATAAAACAAAACAAAAAAATTAAAATTAGAAAAAAAGCTACAACTCAGAAGAAATATAATAAAGAAAACAATTCAGATCTAAAAGGGAAAAAAAAGCTAAGCAATGAAGGGGAGTAGAGAAACCCCCATAGCATATAAATGAAAACTAGAATGGGGACTTTTTTTTTCCAGACAGACTTTCTCTGTGTAGCTTTGGAACCTGTCCTGGAAGTTGTTCTGTAGACCAGCTGGTCTCAAACTCACAGAGATCTGCCTGCCTCTGCCTCCAGAGTGCTGCAACTAAAAGCATATGGCACCACCACCACCCAGATGAATGGGGACCTCTTAACTCTAGGCAAAAATGTGTCATAGAGTCAAGGAAAAGAAACAGGAAATGAGTTAAGAAATAATATTGGGTTTGAACACACAGAAGCTGACCTCTGGATAATCTGTCGCTTGAATATGTCAGCTTTATACTGAACCTCCAGGTGGGTCATCTCCTCACTCAGCTCATTTCTGATATTCTGAAAGTTAGTAACTGCCCCAAAGGGCCATTAGGATTTGGAAAGTGGCAGTGACTAGACCAAGAACATGCTTAAGTGGGGAGAAACAATATCAGAATTTCCCTGCTACATGGGGTTCTCTCCAAATAGTCTACCAACCCCAAATGGCCAGTTTCTTCCCACCATCCCTCTTGCCAAGTTGCACCTTCTCTGGGCTTACCCATCATGGCTACTATGATATTTCGAAAGATAATGGAGCCAAGCAACAACCAAAGGATCACATAGATGCTGCTAAATACTCGACTAGCTTCTGGCACCTTCCAGACATCCTGAAGTAATGCATACCAATGATCCAAGGTGAAGAGGATGAACACTGTCACCAGGGAATTTAGTAGGTCCCTAAAAAAGCAGAGCAAATATACAGAAGCATAGATCTAAAGCTTTCAGAAACTGGTTTTTGTTTTGAGTCTCACTATATAGCCCAGGCTAGACTGGAACACTATGTAGACTGGCATTGAATTCACAGAGTTGAACTCCTGCCTATGCTCCTGGCCTCATTCTTAAGCAACATAAGGGCATTTCTTTATAATATGCTCTGATTTTGGCTCCTTTTTCTATCATATTCTATATTTTCTAGCCAACCATTCTCCAGTCTGAAATCGCTTTTATTATGCTCCTCTTACTCATGAATAGCCTATAAATATCTCTCAATATTCCATTAGTCCTAGGGCTGCTACTTTACCAACAAATACTAAATTCTTTTGTGTGAGTCTCTTTTTAATTATCTATTTATTTATTTCATATGCATCAGTATTTTGCCTGCAGGTATGTCTTTGTGAGAGTGTCAGACCCCTTGGAACTGGAGTTACAGACATCTGTGAGCTGCCATGTGGGTGCTGGGAATTGAACCTGGGTCTTCTGGAAGAGCAACCAGTGCTCTTAACCACTGAATCATCTCTCCAGCCCCACCCCTTTTTTTGAGACAGGGTTTTTCAGTGTAACAGTTCAGGCTGTCCTAGAACTTGCTATGTAGACCAGGCTGGCCTCCAATTCACAGATATCTGCCTGACTCTGTCTCCCAAGTGCTGGGATTAAAGGAGTGTGCCACTCTGGCTCCTGACCAAATTCTTTATTTAAATTTTTTGCATTATCTTATGTTATGTGTTCGAGCATGTACATGCCACTGCCCAGATATAAGGGTTAGCTAGTAACAAGCCTGAGCTACCAGCTGAGCATTTATAAATAATATTAAGTCTCTGTGTGGTAATTTGGAAGTAGTTGCTGAGTTGGAGAGCAGCTGGTCAGGACTGGAAAAATATGCTTTACAGGGACAAATAACCCTAATGATATTTGATAAAGCCTCAAGGAAGCATGTTATTTTATACTTACCTAAAATTATATAATATGCCTAAGTGTATATGTATACATAGCTTAAATAAAGTTATGGCTTTGGCTGACAGTGTTCCCCACAAGAGCCATGGACTATATAAAAACAAAAACCCAGTACCAGGCATGAGAAATTTTCATTTGAGTTGTTGGTCAGGGTAGTCCAAGTGACTCCCAAAATAGTATAAACTATTGCTGCTGCCCTTGGTTGCCTCTCAAAAGTGGAGGGTAAGTCCTTATTGCTGAAGACATGATACACTTCAGTCACAGGACTCAGAAGATTTGAGCTGGATCTAATCTGAAAACTGTCTTCCTGCAGTCTAACTTCCATATTACCAGAAGGTGCTATGCAAGCTTTCAAGGAAGGAAGGAAGGCAATTAGTAGTCCTATCCAGCTGTGATGCCCATGATGTCCCTAAAGGTGTAATAATGGCACTCATATCTTGGAAGTAAACAATAGCTGTCTAATTGGACTTAAGGCCTGGTCAATGGGAGGTAAATCATGTCTGGTACTAGAAACCTAGCCAATGACACTGGGCTGGTGAAGTCATGGATCTTAGGAGGAAAACCTATAACCACTACTTTACTAGACCAGCATAATTCCTAACTGCATTTTAAAACCTATCCTTGTGCTCACAGATAAGTGTATCTCTTACCCTGCATCAAAGAAGCTTCTCTTTGCAGCAGACAGACACCATCACAGAAAACCAATAAAGCAGAGATCAACTGATCATGGGGGCCCAGCCCTAATGGATATCTCTACAACACAGCTCCTGCACTTAAGGTTCAGGGAACATTGCACAAGAGGGGGCAGAAAGATTTTAAGAGCCAGAGGACCACAAAGCCTGCTTTGAGAGTGTATCTCCTAGAAATGACAGGGATGCTACAACAGAATACCTCAGCAATATGGCTGCCTAGATAAGCCCTGATCCAATAGACATGCTAATGTATAAGGTGGAAATCTCAGAGGTGCCTCCCCAGACAAGTAACCAAGGGCAACTGATTGACGACTGTTGAGAGAGTGAGAATTAGTCTCCCATGGATGATCACCCAACCAGTTTAATCCAGTACATATACACACAAGCAACACTAAACAGATGCAGCAAGTTGTATTTACATATTTGCACCATATATGTAGCAATAATAATAAAAAAGGGACTGTCAATTTGAGAGTGGAGGGGCAAGAGAGGGATTGGGGAGAGGGGACATAGGAGAGTTTAGAGAGGGGAAGGGAAAAGGGAAAGTGACACATTATACTTCAATTAAAAATTTCAAAAAAACTTAAAAAACAAACAAACCGGAACCAGTTGTCCTAGGCCCAACATCAGAGCTAGCTCTACTTACTATGCCTGTTTCTCCTTTCTTCTCTTTGTATTCTATCCCACTGTCTTACAATAGACTCTAGTTTTCTGTATTTCTGTGCTTTGGCTGAGCATCCGAGTGTGACACAAACCTCTCCCCTCATGAAGGTTGCCCTCAGCCATGCTTACGAGAAGAACATGTTGTACTCCAGGTTCTCAATAGTTGAACGGGAATAGTCTTCAAAGAAGTAGACACCAGTTACAGCAAAAATGTAGAAGAAGATAAGCAGCAACATCAAGAGGAACGTCATGCTCTGGAGACCAGGATCCACGTCAGAGGTAGGCAAGGCAAGGCTGGCCCCACCAGCAGCCCGGCCAAACCCACCCAGTCATCTCCTACCAAATCCAGAACAAGCATACCTCTAAACCACAGCAGTTTACTTTAAGTTCTGTATATCAACTTGTTTAAATATAAGAAAAAATGGGATAAAGTTAGTGCTTACCTCTTGAGTTGTTACAGAACATAAAGAAGATAATCCACATAAAATATTTAAAACAGTGGCTGGCCCTTTGGGATCAGTAACTGGCAGATATTATTTAGAGACTGATGCTCCTAATAACATACAAGTGTTCTCATACAAGAACATTCATAGAATCTCTCATGAACTTCTTTGACCATATTAAATATTAAACCCATGTTTTTCTACCTTGTCCCCCATCCCACTTTAGGTTAATCAATTTAAATCACCTTCAGGGCCCTGGCAAGAGCCAATATAATAACTTTAATTTGACGAAATCGTGCAAACAGTTTGAGAGATCTCAGCACCCGGGAGATCCTCAGCAGCTGAAGCCACACAGAGTTCCCCGAGACACCCATCAACACCACAAACTCAGGAAGCAGAGACTGTGGAAGACACAGGCAATAAGTAAGGACACCTGAAGAACCCAGGCACAGTTGCTCCTTTTCATCCCATCTTCTCCATAGTTTTCTGGGTGTTATCTTTGAAAAGCATTCTCTGGGGACTGTTTGCTGTTTAGTCTTTTCATATTAACCTACATAAGCTCTGCACTTCAACTTGTTAGATATTTAAGAAAATGGGATAAAGTTAGTGCTTATCTCTTGAGTTGTTACAAAACACAAAAAAAGATAATTCACATAAATTATTAAAATAGTGGTTGGCACTTAGTGTTCAGTAATTGGCAGATGTCATTTTAGGGGTTGATGATCACGACAATTTTTGCAAAGCAGCAAATTGGATAAATTTCTATATATTCCTTCCTGTAAGTTTTACATAACCTAATTTGCCAAGGCATACTGCTGGTCCCATTAACTACTCCTAAGGATATTTATCCTTACCGACATGGTAACAACAAAGTCAAAGACATTCCAGGCATTATTCCAGAAGAGAGAAAAGCTGAACATCCACATTAGAATGATTTCTAAAATGAAACTAAGCAAGATAAACCAATCTGCCACCTCCAAAGTCAGCTTCAATGGCCACAGCTTAGTATTTGTGGATTCCATCAATTCTGTAAGGTAGAGCAAGGAAAAAATAAAAATTAAATGAGAAACTGAATAATGAAGGGTGATCACTCATAACCAGAGTTGTGACCACTACTATTCCATTTCTCTTGGATGTCTCTGTCTTTTTTAGATTTTTAAAAATGTATATGAGTATTTTGCCTACATTTACGTATGCATGCATGTATGTATGTATGTATGTATGTATGTATGTATGTGTACCATGTGTGACTACTTCCTGAAGTCAGAAGAAGGTGTCAGATCCCCTAGAACTGGAGGTTAGACTGCTGTAAGTTACTATGTGGATGTAAGAATCGAACCTGGGGCTGGAGAGATGGCTCAGAGGTTAAGAGCACTGGCTGCTCCTCTTCCAGAGGTCCTGAGTTCAATTCCCAGCAACCACATGATGGCTCACAACCATCTGTAATGAGGTCTGGTGCCCTCTTCTAGCCTGCAAGTGTATATGCAAACAGAACACTATATGTAATAAAAATAAATTAATTAATTAAAAAAAAGAATCGAACTTGGAGCTGGGTGGTGGTGGCGGTGGCACACGCCTTTAGTCCCAGCACTGGGAGGCAGAGGCAGGTGGATCTCTGTGAGTTCGAGACCAGCCTGGTCTACAAGAGCTAGTTCCAGGACAGCCTCCAAAGCCACAGAGAAACCCTGTCTGGAAAAAAAAAAAAAAAGAAGAAGAAGAAGAATCAAACCGTGCTGGGGAGATGGCTCAGTGGCTAAGATTACTGCCTGTGCTTCCAAAGGTCCTGAGTTCAATTCCCAGCAACCACATGGTGGCTCACAACCATCTGTAATGAAATCTGGTGCCCTCTTCTGGCCTGCAGACATACATGCAGGAAGAACACTGTGTACATAATAAATAAATCTTTAGAAAAAGAAAAAGAAAAAAAAAATCAAACCTGGATCCTCTACAAGAGTAACAAATGTTGTTGCTTCAACCTATGTGATTATATGGTAGAATTACCCATAAAACAACAGCTATAATTTACCTCTTGTTAAGGTATAAGTAACAGTTGCAAGTCACTTACAACCCATTCTACAGTTATAAAGCCCCTACAGAATTTCTCTCTTTACTACATACACCCAACCATATGCTACACAATTAAGTTTGTCCCAAAGTTTACAGGAAAGCAATAGAGTGAAAACATAGAAATATGATATAAAATCTTTTAAAAATTAAGCTTCTACCTGGGCAGTGGTGGTGCATACCTTTAATCCCAGCACTCAGAAGGTAGAGGCAGGTGGATCTCTGTGAGTTGGAAGCCAGCCTGGTCTACAGAGTGAGTTCCAGGCCAGGCTCCATAGCTACAGAGAAACCCTGACAACCTGATTCTGATCCCCAGGAAGACAACTGACTTCTGCAAGTTGTCCTCTGACCTCCACACTTGAGCCATGACACATGAACCTACACACACACAAGTAATTAAACAAATAAACACACACTAAATTCTGGCTCCCAGAAGCAGGGGGGGTCACAGTATTAGAAGGCACTAAGGACCACATTTAAGTCTGGAAAATAGAATTCAATAATGTTTATTCAGTTTTGCTTTCACAGACAGAATTTTCATAAAGAACAATGAAATATTTGGGGACTGGAGAGACAGCTTACTGGTTAAAAACACACAACTGTCTAAAACTCCAGCTCCAAGGAATCCTACATCTTCTTCTGGCCTTTTGGCACCTGAGCATGCACGCATGCGCACACACATAGAAACTTTTTAAAAATATTTATTTATTACGTATAAGTGTTCTGCCTGTATATATGCCTGCAGGCCAGAAAAGGGCACCAGATCTCCTTACAGATGGCCATAAGCCACCTTGTGGTTGCTAGGAATTAAACTGAGGACCTCTGAGCCATCTCTCCAGCCAGAGAAAGGCCCTTCCAAAAAAATAAAAATAAAAGGAAGGGGGTTTCAAGATAGCCTTAGCTGTCCTGGAATTCGCTCTGTAGACCAAGCTGGCCTCTGACTCACAGAGATCCACCTGCCTTTGCCTCTTGTGTGCTGGGATTAAAGGTGTGTGCCACCACCAGCCAGCTAAAAACTTTTTTAAAAGAACAATAAAATGGTTTGTGGTTTCAAGAGTCTTGGAAAGAGGAATCTGATGGTTTGGGTAGTCCTGATTAAAGAGCAGCAAATCTTTTACGTGCTGGAAAAAAGGGATGATTTGTAGAAGCTAAAAGAACTGAAGAAACATCAGAAGAACAAACAGCAGAGATTGCTTATGTGAGATAGAGCGTGCAGGGTGACCACTGCCAACGCTGTGTCAGCTAATGAGAAGCTGCACTGTCTGGAGATGCGACCATTCTTTCATTCTACTGCTTAGGAGACTGAGGCAGGAGGATGAAAGGTTCAAAGGCACCTCAGATTACACAGAGAACCAAAGCCAGCCTACACTCTTGAGTGAGACAAATAAGCCAAGTATTTGTGGTGCACTCCTTTAAAGGCTGCCCTCTCGGGGGCAACCTGGTTTACATTAAAAATCAAAAACAAAAGCAACAACCAAACAAAAAACAAAACAACAACAACAAAAAAATTAAGCTGAGTGTTGAACACCTGTAATCCAGCTAGCACTTGGGAGGCTGAAGCAGAAGGACTGAAACTAGCGACAACTGTTGCTACATAGGAAGTTCCAGGCTAGCCTAGGCTACATAGTGAGACCCTGGTTTTTGTTTTGTTTTATTTTTTTGAGACAGGATTTCTCTGTGTAGCTTTGGAGGTTGTCCTGGAACTCATTCTGTAGACCAGGCTGGCCTCAAACTCACAGAGATCCATCCACCTGCCTCTACCTCCCAAGTGCTGGGACTAAAAGCGTGTGCCACCAACGCCTGGCTGTGAGACCCATTTCTAAACACTAACAAGTCTCAGCAGTTAAGAGTGCTTACTGCTCATGCAGAGGATCTGGGTTTGGATTCCAGCACCAACAAACTAACCAATCAAAAATTCTGCCTGCTTTAGCAAGGCAAAAGAACCTAAATGTAGGGCTGGAGAGATGGCACATAGGTTAAGAGCACCAACTGCTCTTCCAGAGGTCCTGAGTTCAATTCCCAGCAACCACATGATGGCTCACAACCATCAGTAATGTGATCTAGGCCCTCTTCTGACCTGCAGGGATACATACAGACAGAACACTGTATACATAATAAATTGATAAATCTTAAAAAAAAAAAAGTGTGTATCACTACACCTGGCTAAGATTTATTAAAAAAAAAAAAAAGAAGAAGAAGAAGAAGAAGAACCTAAATGTAAATGTAACCAGACCTAAGAGCCCCAGCACAGTCAACCCAGCAGACTTAGCCACTGCAGTTAATTCTTGCTGGGACATTCTTCCTCCAGAGTAGAGAGCAGAAGGCAAGAGTTTAATCAGATAGGCAAGGTCAAGTATACAATTCCATTAGACAAGGCGGTTTTGATATAGGCAGTCATCTGTTGCTAATCCCTATTACAGCACAACAGCAACATCAATCAGTCACTTCATAGAATACTAGGTAAGCTCACAGTGATTGTAAGGAAAATCCAACATTATGGAGCAGAATAGCACACTGTCATTTGTATATATGTTTCGCCAAAGTCAATTGCTGGTGTTGGAAAAAAAATCACAACTTGTGATCCATGAATTCAAATAGTGCTTATAATTGAAATAAGCATGTTTTGTTTTTATTTTGTTCTGTTTGAAGTGCTGGGGACTAATCTCAGGGATGTTCAAATACTAGGCAAGCACTCTACCCTTGGGCTAAACTACAAGTCCTAAGCATTTGGTTTTAAACAAGTAAGATTACAAGGGCCTGGAGAGATGGCTCAGTAATAAGAACACCCAGAGGACCCCAGATTCTATTCCCAGCAACCATTCAGGGGGCCATAACTATCTGTAACTTCAGGTCTAGGGACCCATGGGCACTGCATGCACACATATACATGCAGGCAAAATCACCTATACATACAAAATAAAATAAAAATAAATATATAAAGCAGATTGTCACAAAATAATTGATTTGGCCAAGTTATATAATATGAAAATAAGACTGGTGAAATCCTCAAAAATTAAGAAATACCATATGAAATCAGAATAATAAATACTTATCAGGACTCGTTTTTTGTTTTTGTTTTTGTTTTTGTTTGGGGGGGGGACAGGGTCTCTATATGTAGCCCTGGCTATCCTGGAATTCACTCTGTAGACCAGGCTAGCCTTGAGCTCACAGAGATCTGCCTGCCTCTGCCTCCCAAGTGCTGGGAGTAAAAGCAAGTGCCACCACCACCATTGAGAATTTGTATTGTTCTTTCATTCTAAGCAGTTTTTACAAACTTTTTGGTTTTTTGAGATAGTTTTACTGCACACTGCAGGCTGGCCTTAACTTATAACCCTGTCTCAACTTCTAGAGTGCTAGATTAAAGGTATCCATCACCACTCCTGACCTGAGCAATCTGCCTGAGTTAACAATTAAATGAGATGTCCTTCTGTTTTTAATATATTTCATATAACATGTAGATGGGTTTTTGGAGTCCATTTTCTCTTTGCTAGGCATAGTGGTGCACACCTATAATCTTCAGATGGAAAGTACAAGTAGGAGTTCAGGTTCATCCTACTACATTTGGAGTTTGAGGCTAGTGTGGATTGCAGGAGACTCTGTCCCAAAAAATAAGTGGGTAAATAAATCTGTCCCCAAATCACAATGAGATGATACCTGAAAATATGAAATGACCAGGCTGGAAGAAAACCATCTTCCACACACTACCTTTTTCATTCGGCACCAGTTCTCACCTATTTCAACCATCAGTACAATTGTATTCAGAAAGATGAGGAAGATGATGAATTTTGAGAAGATAGGATCTGTTTTCTTTTAAGGAAACACACAGATGAGTATTTTGTCATTTATGCAGCTGAAATAACAAGGACAACAATATCAATATGAGAGTCTGAAGAAAATAGTTTGAAAGAGGAGAAATAAGTCATTAACAGACAAGGGAAAGCCATGAATAGAAACAAATGACACTAAAGGATACTTTCAAGAACCCATCCAGCCCACAGGGAAAGAGGTGGTCTCCGACTGCACCGCACTTGAAGCCTGCTCAGCATTCGCTGGGAATGCGTGATGTGCCCCATATGCCGGGGCTTTATGGAGAAGCGCACTAGCTGGTTCTGGTCTCCTGACATGAGTTTCTTCTGACGAGAGGGATCTACAACAACAATGGAGAGGTAATGGGGCATGCCTCTCGTTCAACTTGAATCTACCAGTACTGGGCAACACATGGGACTTCCTTCTCTCCCCAAAAAACTGAGAGGAGAGCTGATAGATCCACAGATGGGGGCGGGGACTGTGGACAGCAGGTAGAGTTGGGGATAGGGATACTGTTGAAATACTAGATCCTCTATGCAGCAGCAGCTCTGCCTTGTAAGCTGTTCTTTTTCAAAGCAACTAAGAATTCTTTTTTTCTTTGGTTTTTGGAGACGGGGTTTCTCTATTGCTTTGGAGCCTGTCCTGAAACTCACTCTGTAGATCAGGCTGGCCACCATCATACAGAGATCCATCCACCTGCCTCTGCCTTCCTAGTGCTGGGATTAAAGACATGCACTACCACTACCTGGCCAGACAAAAATTTTTAAACAAAACAAAACAGGTATGGGTGATGCTTGCGTACAATTCCAGCACTCTGGAAGAGGCACCAGGAGTTCAAGGTCATTCCTGGTTACATAGTTTGAGGACAAAATGGGTTGTATGAAACTCTATCTCAGATAATGGGGCTCAGGGAGTAAAATGTCTGAAAACAAGTAGACAAAACACAGTACAAATAAAAGGAAAATTTAGGGATGAGAAGCTACACTAAGGTTGATAAATTCAGGGCTTTAGACCTCCAATTCTTCTTCCAAGTCCTAGTGAAGTAACC